ACTGCATCAGTAGTGGTTGCCAACACAAACGGCCCCAGGCTACACTTTAAGACTTTAATCATAAAGAGAAATATTTCTCCAGCCCAAAAGGACCCCCATTTATAATTTACAGGGAAACAGCGAGGCACTAATGTTCTTCCCCGGCGTCAGGCTGAGTGCATGAGGAGGACAAACAGCGATGGGCAGGTCGCATTAAACATTCAATTGCTGTCAAACTCAGATTGAGGTTTTTATTGAGGGATGACATGAGGAGAAACTCATCAACTAAAGAATGACTTATGAATCATCAACCAGCTTTAGAAAACTTACAATTAACAGATACATGAAAACACAATGGCTCTGTTACAGAATCTAGTGAGCTAACTTGCTATCTACTACCTATAGGCAGCTGCCTTCTAAGACTGCATAAAAGACTGATTTGGAAAACACTACATAGGTAGCAATTATAACAAAAATATAAACTAGAGACTACAACTCATGTTGTATAACATTGTTGCATGTTGCTGAGCTAATAGCACTATATTTTATTGTAAATAAATGGTATACAGTGAACAAAAATATTGAGTAAAATAGTCAAGATTTTGTTACTTTACTTTTTTAGATACTTTACCATTTAAAATATTTTTCTTTTTGAAAGAAATGAATTCTTTTATTCAACAAAAAAACACATTAAATTGATCAAAAGTGACAGTCAAGACAATGTTTTAAAATATTTTTGTTTCAAATAAATGCTGTCCTTTTGAAATTTCCATTCCTCAAAAAAAATCCTGAAAAAGTATCAGGGTTTCCACAAAAAATAAATAAATAAATAAATAAGTAATAATATTGACAATGATAATAATAAGACATGTTTCTTGTGCACCAAATCAGCATATAACATGTATTTCTGATGGAACATGTGACACTGAAGACTAGAGTAATGATCACTGGAATAAATGACATTACAAAATGTAAATGTATTATTGTAAATAAATATGCATAATTACTATTTTTACTGTTTTTTTTTAATTAAATAAATGCAGCCTTGAGAGACTGTAGTCCGCTCATAGGTTTTGGGCCAGAGCTAATTTATCCTTTTAAATTTTACTATCCCAAAACTCCTTTTTAGTATCCTGACAATAAGGAAAGAAGCACTAAATGTAAATGAGGTACTATAAACACACACGCAATCTGTCTCTTTTTTTATGGTCTCTGTGGTGTCCTACAGCTTCAGTTCTCCACATCTGTAGTTAAATTATGTATCTGTTAATGACGTGTGAAATTCAAACCAGTTTCCCCCGCTTGAAGTTCAACCCCCTACATGCGGCCTTTCTCTCAGACACACACACAACACATATTCACCCACCCCTCCCATTCCCCGGAGGCCCACACCACCTCTCTCCCATTTCCACAGGGCATTTTTCCAAGAAATAAGGTTAATTAGCTTTTTTTTTTGTTGGTCTCAGTCTCTGCTGTGGTTGGATGTAGGCAGTGCTATGACTGTGTGTATCCGAGAGTCATTGACATTGTTGTCGATCAGCAGGTGGTCAAGCTTATTATAACCTGCTCAAATCACGCCCATGTCTGGTGAAATTGGTCCAGACCTGCATCATTTAGCAGCGGGCCAAAGGCAAGTCTTTATTCCACTGGCTTTGAAACCACCAGACATCGACTTAAAGCAAGTCGATGCAATCTAGGCACGTTGACAAAACAGCAGGCACAGTCTACCGCGTGTTGTTTTGTTTGCTATTTTGGCTGTAAATATAGATTCATCAATCAATATGAATTGATTTTAATGTCAAACAGTCAAAAGAAAAAGAAGGTATATCAAAAACTGCCTGTGTTTACTTTCTGATATTAATTGAATTTATGAGTGTACAGAATACGATTCCTTTTTTTTTTTTTTTTACAACAGAACTCTGTTGGCCTGCAGTTTGATCTATAGTCTAAATAACAAGGCAACTGTGCGCGGAGAGGGAATATGGGGAATTTTCTAGACACAGATCCATGAAAATTGAATTATAAAGGAAGATCTGAGCACACTTGACTAGTCTTGAATATCGACTTTAATTTGCCGGGGAAGTTCAGTGTGAATGTTGTGCAATGTAGCCGAAATGTAAAGAAATAATAGTACATGCAAAAAATGAAAATTCTTTAACCCTCAGTTATAATCGATTTTCATAAAACCAAAAACATAAATGAAAATCAATGATTACATTAATTCATTGTAATATTTGTTTAATTTATACAGATATGCTATATACTTTATTTTTATATACACTACGGCTCAAAAGTTTGGGGTCGGTAAGATTTGTTCATGTTTTCATGTTTTTTTCATGCTGAAGTCTCTTATGCTCACCAAGGAATTAATACATCTTAAGAATTCAAACCCAAACTTTTGAACGGTAGTGTAGATTTTATTTATACTTACTAATAATACTATATCATAATAAAACCTAAAATCTTTTTAAATAAGTTCTGAATCCAAAAATTATCTTTTGTGTGCGAAACTTAATATATATACCCAGGTTACACCACAATTTTTATTTATTTATAATGACTTAAATGTGTGTCTGTCTGTGCTTTTTCATTTGATTGAAATTGCTTTCTTCTTATGAGATGTTCATGCTGATCTTAGGTTATTAAATGAAGACAGAATTTTCATTTTTGGCTGTAAAACCGTTTAACCCATCTCATACAATCTTGTTGCACACCTAACCAATCTATCCTTCTGAATGTTAAACACTTCTGATAGGTTAAGGCAGCTGTAATCTTCTCTTTCGAGCTGAGCCGTTGAGACGCTGAACTCAGCGAAAGGGCTTTAATCTCACAGACAATGCCGAGTGTACAACTGTGCATCACAACACAGTGCTCTATCAGGTCCTGTGACTATTGCAGATCCCATGCAGACATGCTTCCACACAGGCTTTACACAAAATCATTTCATTTTGGCTTAACTTCAAAACAAGCATTGATTTTGTCTTTTGAAAATGATTGGATGTTCTGTAGCTGGAGACGGGCTCTCTAGACTCAGACTGACCTACTTTTCCATGAACCAGACTCTCTCTTATGTTTCAGACAGCTGTGCCATGCTGAAACCTCAATGAGATTTGTTTGTGAGGGCTGGCGGTAGAAGCTGTACTTTAAAACACATTCCACTTGCTATTTTTAATACAGATCTTTGTTGACCCACTGTCCTCTTTCACTGCATATAGTGGCATTTAACGTCTTGATGTCATGCATCAACTTGATCTCATTCTCATTTTGCCTGTGCGAAGGTAAAGGAAATCAATTTGGAGATCAATATAAGCTAAGTGTGACTATATTAGACTTTGTTCTGTGGATGTTCTTTGCAGCCTTTAAACAGCAGGACATTAATCCAGCTGTGTTTGGAATGGAAACTGTGTACAGCATACTGCAATATATACTGCATATAGCTTACTTTTTTATTGAAAATTGAATGCATGTATAGCAGAACACATTTTAGACAGTGGTATTATATGTGTTTGTGTGTGGCATTTTAATTAATTAATTAATCAGTTAAACAGTGTTAAAATTTTAAATGGTAAAAATTGTGGTTAATGTTAATGATATGGACGAGATATGCCGAGTCCGAGTCAAGATCGAGTTTTTAAAGTGTCGAGACCGAGTCTTTGAAAGGTCGAGACCGAGTCCGTTGGTTTTCAAATACAGTCGAGTCTGAGTCAAGACCGAGTCTTTGAAGGATCGAGACCGAGTCAAGACCGAGTCTTTGAAGGAACAAGTCCAAGACGAGTGAGAAAGCAGAAATCGGTCTCGAGTACTACATCACTAGTTAATGTTAAAAAGGAAATACTGTGCACATTATAGGCAACATACTACTTAAATAGTATGCTAATATGCCATTATGAACATTATATTTTCAATGTTTCCCATGATGCCTTTGTGACGGGGAAGCCATGATCATATATGTTCCAGAGCTGCCGGGGCTGCTGGGATTAGACAGGTTGGCACGGTAACCCACTTTATGGTGTGTGAGTAATGAGAGCGGCTGCAAATTACACAAGATCTGTTCTTTCCCAGAAGCACTATGGGTATATGAGACCCTGACCTTTGACCCTGCTGTTGTAGACATGGGTGCCTGCAGGATTTATTAACTGCACTCCGTAATCCACTGACTACCCACTTTATTAGTCATAGGCAGCTTAGTATAAAGACATTCAAAATAGATGACTAACCTGTAGCATATCAAATCTGATTCCAGAAGCACTTCCTGTTTCAGTTTTTTTAACACTACATAAAAGCTGGGATAAAATACAACCAACAGAACATGTAAAACTGAATCAAAAAGTTAAACAAACATCTTTAAGATGTTTTCTTTACATGTGAAATAAAGAAAACAGTTACAAACTGAAACAGGAAGTGTTTCTGGACCAGTGTTTTTTTACATCTTGCAAAATGGAAATGACACGTTTTTATATGTATATATAAATATATGTACTTACCTAAAGGATTATCAGGCACACAATACTAATACTGTGTTTATCCACCTTTCACCTTCAGAACTGCCTTAATCCTATGTGGCATTGATTCAACAAGGTGTTGAAATCATTCTTTAGAAATGTTGGCCCATATTGATAGGATAGCGTCTTGCAGTTGTCGAGAAATCGAGACTCATCAGACCAGGCAACATTTTTCCAGTATTCAATTGTCCATTTTTGGTGAGCTCTTGCAAATTGTTGCCTCTTTTTCCTATTTGTAGTGGAGATGAGTGGTACCCAGTGGGGTCTTCTGCTGTTGTAGCCCATCCTCCTCAAGGTTGTGTGTGTTGTGGCTTCAAAAATGCTTTGCCGTATATCTCGGTTGTAACGAGTGGTTATTTCAGTCAAAGTTGCTCTTCTATCAGCTTGAATCAGTCGGCCCATTCTCCTCTGACCTCTAGTATCAACAAGGCATTTTTGCCCACAGGACTGATGCATACTGGATGTTTTTCCCTTTTCACACCATTCTTTGTAAACCCTAGAAATGGTTGTGCGTGAAAATTCCTGTGTTGAAATCACTCTCTCTTTCTTTTTTAAGTCAACACATGCTTTGATAATATATCCCCCTCTGTTGTGTTCCTGTATTTGGCTTTCCTTCTCTGCCGTCTCATTTATCCTTGGGAGAAAGATGAGAAACAACATGTCTGTAATTGAGCAAACTCATTAAAACATTGTCATCATTTTTCTCCCTGTCTCAGACTGCAGTGTGCTAATGTGTTTATAATGAGAAAGGCCTGTGTTATTGCCAAGCAGAAAGTGTACGGTCAGGTGCTCCTCAACGATTGATCAAATGTTGCTGTATCCCAGAGCTACTTCTGTATTATTACCTTATGCAACATCCAACTCTTTTCAGGGCGCTTTGTTAAGTCTTTTTGGATTGCAACTCACTGTTGAGAAACAAAGAACAGCAAGATAATTAGTAAATGAATACAATTTATTCTGACTGTAATGACTTCAACTCGCCCTCCCTCAAGAAGCAGGGGGTTTCACAGTCTCTTTCTGTGCAAACAAAGATAAGAAATGCAGCATCCAGATCAATGGGCTTAGACGTTGAATATCTGCTTTAATTTTGCAAGGGAATGACATATCCGACTATTAGACTATTTAATGCATCATTGATTTAGTAACGTGCCTGAGAAATAACAGTCTCACCATGTCCGAAACTACTAAAACTGACACTGTCCAATACATTTTATAATAATTATCCATCCATCCATCCATCCATCCCTCTAGTTATAGATTAGCAATTCAACATTACACTGTCCAATACATTTTATAATAATAATCTATCTATCCATCCTTCTATCCATCTTTCCATCCATCCATCCATCCATCCAGTTGCAACATTACACTGTCCAATACATTTTATAATAATAATCAATCCATCCTTCTATCCATCCATCCATCAATCCATCCAGTTATAAATTAACAATGCAACATTACACTGTCCAATACATTTCATAATAATAATCTATGTATCCATCCTTCTATCCATTCTTCTATCCATCTTTCCATCCATCCATCCATCCATCCATCCAGTTATAGATGAACAGTTTAACAATACACTTGGAATTAGTTGTTCCAATTAGCAGAGTTTAGGTATATAATAGTATCAAACTACAATTGCAGGGTATTTATATTAAGTGCATGAATATGTACATGTATTTGTAGCATACTTAGACATTTTAAAATACATTTTGGCATATTTATTTTTCACCAGGGTTTTTCATCCATATAATTCAATATGAAATTAAAATGAAATATAAATAGACAAAATAAACCTAAACATACATTATAGAAATATAATGTGAAACAATGTACCATTGTGAATAAATCACACTGGTCTGCAGCCATTTTTACAATACTTCAGGACGGTTTCAGCAGTATTTCAATATTCAGCACAGCAGCCATGTTCAAAAATAGACTTAATTTTCTCAGTCTCTCCCCCACTGTGCCATTGACCGGCATCCGACGCTGTAAGCCACGCATTCGGGCTGTTTAACACACACAGCAAAGTCTTCCAGTCAAATGTGGCACAACAGTAATGGAAGGGGTCTCCATGGCAACCACTTCCTCCTGTTTTCAATTCAGCAAGCAATAAATTGCGTGTGTGGGTTCTCAAAAAATAAATACATTTGAAGCACGTTTTCCTACTTGTTACATCTCGACCCCTTTGTATTTCATTAACGGATAAATACGCAACATCTACGAAAGCATTGTCTGTTTGCAGAACAATCCCGCAATGTAATCTACTGTTTTTAGCTGATCACCCTTCAAAGAAATGCATCTTGGAAGATTTATGAAAGGTAGGAAACTCTGCTACAGATAGTAACAGGTTCAGAAAAATTTGGTTGAAAACAATCCATCACTGAATTGCTCTTTTTTGTATTGTACGCATAGAAAAGATGAAAGACTTGCTTATCTTTTCTGTGTGTACCAGCATTAAAATCAATCTTTCTAGAAGCTGATTTATTGGATGTCTCGAGTTAATCCTGTCGTATGTAAATTATGAGGCAGTTTCTGTCCTCGGCGGTGAATCCCGTGGATTTAGCGTTGAACGTGAAGGATGTTGTGTATTTCTGTGTCAGATGATAATGAATGGAAGGAAGGATAGTCGGAGGAGGGGAGCGTAGGCTCTCTGTGGAGGGTGGAGATTTCTGAGCTCTTCATGCTGCGGGAACGACAGCTCTTGCTCTCTTTATCTGTTCAAGTGCACGTAATGTTATTTCAGCCCTTTGGTCTGATGCAGGGATTCCATAAGTATTTAATCTTCTGCTAAACATGATTTTTGGGGATTATTTTATGTATTTGTATGCACAAACTTTTCCTAAGTCTCTTTTAACCTTTCTCTCACAAATGTGTGCCACTAGAACACAACGCATTTCTTCCAGTCGGTATCGACAGCTTAACATTATTAAAAGAGACAAGGATTTAACATAATATGCAGATTTAACATATGCGAATTTAGATGGAGGACTTGATACTGTTTTTCGACCAATCACATGTTTGACAAACTAAAGCATTTCTAGCCACTGTAGCTCTTAATTCTGCTGTGATTAATAAAAGCGACAATAATAAAAGCTTATCATTTATTGTATTCTGTTATTGCAGAACACAATAGCCCGGATATCTGAATATATTTCATGTATATTCCTAACATTAGGGTTGGGTATCATTTGAATTTGAACGATTCTGATTCCGATTCCGATTCCTTGTTTCGATTCCGGTTCCTAACGATTCTCGATTCCGATTCTTTTAAGAGGCAGGGTCAAAAAAGTTTAGCTAACCTTGCTAACCAACGGCCTTTCTGAAGGAAATAAACCTTTCTGAAGGAAATACCTGTCACAAATACTCCTGTTGTCACAAATTTTGCATTTTGCCGAGATTTCGTTATTTTTAGAAAAGTGAAGCCACACTTTGGATCGCCGACATAAGCTACTCATGTTCGACTCGCGCGGTTATGCCAACACTTCCGGTAGACGCTTCTTCGTTGGTGTTGTTCAGCGGTTTCTTCTTCCGCTCGGCGGACTGTGAATATCGAAACTAGGAATCGAAATTTTAACTTTTGAACGATTCCGGGAAAAACGAAAAGTTAGTCTCGGTTCCAATCGATACTCGATTCTCGATACCCAACCCTACCTAACATCATCTTTTTATAAGAATGGTAGACATAAGAATAACTCATGATTATACATTATTTTAATGGAATAGTTCACCAAAAAAATCATTTACTTACCTTCATGTCTTTCCAGACCTGTGTGACTTTCTTTTTTTCTATGTATGAGGTTTTGCTGAATGTTCACGGCACGCTGTCAGGGCTCATAGCTGTGTGTGTGAAGAAAATAGACGTATTTATGATGTTAGAAATCGATAATCTGTTCCTTCATTGCAGTTCTCAAATCTCATTGACTTTCAAGTTCAGAAGTCAATTTTGCATTTATATGGTTTCAAGATGTCCACACAAGGTCTGATGACAATGATGCCAAACATGTCATTATTTTTCAATTTCTTAAAGCTTTTTGGGAACACTTCACTTGAAGGGGTGTGCATAAGACTAAAATGACACCTTCATAATCATGACATGACATATGTTATGAATATGAAGGAAATTTTATGCATGTTTATGACAACTGTCATTAAGTGTCATTCGCTCAGTTATGACATTTTTAATGCAAATATGAGATTGTTTGAGATGTCTTTGTCATAAACCAATACATCATAACCTTTGTCTTTGTCATGACAGCTTAACATTACTAAGACACAACCTTTCATAAACGTGACATAGCAGATTAATTATCAAACTTAAGAAACCACCTAGCTTTATTGGTTAATATTACATTAAACTGTCAGGTGGTTGGTTTTGACATTGGCTGTCATGAAGCCATTATAACTTTTTAATGACAAATTCAATTAGTACCACTGTAGTTGAGTTCACGAAAAACATTCATGAGTTATAATGGTCTCATGACAGCCAATGTCAAAACCAACATGACAGTTTAACTTAATTTAACAGGTTATGATATTATGGTTTATGTCAAGATGTCATAACAAAGACATATTAAACAATGTCATATTTGCATTCAAATTGTTATTACTGAGCGAAAGACACTGTGACATTTGTCATAAACATGCCTAAAAACCTTATTTCATATTCAAGACATATGTCATGTCATGGTTATGAAGGTATCATGTCAATCTCATGCACACCCCTTCAAGTAAAGTGTTAACAATTTTTTTTTTTTTTTTGCAACATGTCAATAGTGAATACACTTGCATATTACGCGTGTTGTTCGAAGACTTATAATTAGTTCGAAGACTTCCTGTGGCTTTGAACAAGGTTTCAATAGACACACAGGTGAGGTCTCGATAAATATAATTTAAGACTTATTATTAGCAGCCTCTGGAGTGAGGGCTTTGTTGTATATATTAACTTAATACACAGCTCTCTTACTGGATTCTGATTGATCAATGGCAGAATTATGTGGTTAAATATGTTTTAGAAAACTAAGCTGTATAATTAACCAATTTCCTAGACGTTTTATATTACTCCATGGTCTCTTTCTTCTTGCATAATAAAATAGTTTACTCTCAAATCAATATGTAGCTGTGTAATAAGTGGTTTAACGTACAGAGAGCCAGTCATTAATCACCAAATAAACCTCTTAAGTGACATACAAGATCAATCATTGTGGTTTACTTTATGATAATGACCAGCTCACTGTAAATTATCCCTTAGAAAGAGTGGTAAGGATTGTATACATAAAGGCTCTCTTGTGTTGTGTTGCAGCTGACATCATCTCTACTGTGGAGTTCAACTCTACCGGAGAGCTCTTGGCCACGGGAGACAAGGGAGGAAGAGTTGTGGTTTTCCAAAGGGAGCAAGAGGTAAGACGAAACCATGAAATCTTTCACATCATCCATTCATCCCTGTAAAAAAGAAAAAAAAAAAAAGATGTCACTCAGCAGGTCAATCTAATCTGTACTTCTCTTACTGTGTGAGCAAAAACCACAGGGTCGCACCCTGTAACAACTTCCTGTGGCTTTGAACAAGGTTTCAATAGACACAATGGAAACACAGGTGAGGTCTCGATAAACCTCAGGTGCACATGTTCAGACGTGAAGCTTTCATATCGTGTTTATTCATTAAACAGCAAACAGTTTTGGGGAAGCTTCTTTAGAATTAGAGGGTTGATACACTACAGGCTGCTAACAATGAGTAACTAAGTACACTGAAGCAACTTAAAGGCATAGGTCACCCAAAATGAAAATCTCGTCACCATGTACTATTGTCGTTCCTAACCTGTATGACTTTATTTCTACTGTGGAACAAAAAATACGTTTTTTTTTTTTCTCTCCACATATTGGAAGTCATAACCAAACCTGTTTGGAAACAAGAGAACTATATATTTTTATATAGATAAATAATTATACAATTATATTTAATTTAATCAGAGTTATATTTTTAGGAAAAAAAACAATTCGAAATTTTGAAAAACCTCAATTAGGATGACAGCATCATTTACACTAAATACTACTATATACACAACTTGACAAAAATACAAAAATAAATGACACATAATTCAGTTAAAAAAAGCATACAGCAGTAACAGATTCATTTAACTTAGGTTAAATACAGTTAAGGGGTACACTTATATCTATACTGTATGCACACAATTTTCTTTTACTAAAATACTCTGCATTAAATTCATCCTAAACCAGTTTGTGAGGTCATTGATTTAGCTATTTTATTTACATTTTAAAAACAACATCAATGACAAGTGTCCTGTATTCATTGTAAATATTTAGCTCTAAAACGCCTAAAATGGCAAATCAGCGACACTTTTATTTATTCATTCAAATAAAAAATATGTCCAAATGAACCAGATTCACTGAGAGGGTTAGTCGTTTAGAACAGTGCAACCGTAAAGCTGTGTGTACAATACCATGAGACATTAAAAGAGCAAATTAATGTTTGGTCGAGGTACATTGCTACTCATTGGAAATATTAGGTACTCCTCAACGATGAAGGAGGGCTTTTCTTTTCAGTTTAATCTGCCTGTAAAATAGATAGCATGCTGTCAGCAAATCCAGACACATACGAACATGCCCAAAACGCTACACACACACACTCGCATAACCCCCTCTAGAGAGGGACCGTTCTCTGTTTACTTTAATTTAACTGCATGAGTGGTTTTCACAATTATTGATTTTGATGGTTCCAACGTAAAAACGTCCTTATTTCCATGTTGTCATTGATCGCGAATGCATTAAATGTAATAGTCCAACTGAGACCAGGAAACCTGCAATTAACCGTTAACAGAATCAGCAGCACATTATATTATATTCACCAGCAGAAAGCCCTGTAGATTTCCATTAATCTCAATGCTCATTATTAACAAAATTCCACACATCCCATCTCTTCCAAGTTAATTTATTATATTATTTTCAGCTAATTAGATTATTTAGTCATTCTGCAGAGCCGCTCATTATCAATCACTCCACCGGCTTCGTCCTGCTCGCCACAAATACCTATATGAGCATAACAAAACAAGTGAGCTATGTTGGTCTTTGCAACTGAACAAACATCCTAGATTGATGAAATCTCTTTCTTCTCACCCACAGAGCAAGAACCAGCCTCACAGACGTGGGGAGTATAATGTTTACAGCACGTTTCAGAGTCACGAGCCAGAGTTTGACTACCTGAAGAGTTTAGAGATCGAGGAGAAGATCAATAAGATACGCTGGCTGCCTCAGCAGAACGCTGCCTACTTCCTGCTCTCCACCAATGGTGAGTGACGTTTGAGATCTCAGTGCAAAAAGTATAATAGTTCCCCCAAAATAAGCGTCTGCTATCGTTGACTCATCCTCACATTGTTCCAAACCTGTATGACTGACTCTTGTGTGGAACACAAAAGAAGATATTTGAAAGTCAGTGAAGTCCAAACATTAATATTTAATTATAATAGCTCCTGCAATTTCAACGAAAGATTGTTGGAACAGTAAGTCTTCCAATGACATCATACATCTCCCCATGTTCAGATGGTATGGCTACGGTTTATATACTCAGTTGGTGCTGGATATTTTCCAGCCATTTGCCAGATTGTGTTCCACAGACTGTTAAATTTCTCACTGCCTACCTTTTTGTTTTCTTCTTTCTCTTAATTTCTCCTCCTTTTATCATGTTTTGCTTCCTCCAAATGGTATACTGAAGCTGTGTGTAACTGTTTATTTTCAGATAAAACTGTGAAACTGTGGAAGATCAGTGAGCGGGATAAGAGACCGGAGGGATATAACCTCAAGGATGAAGATGGAAGAATCAGAGACCCGTCCACCATCACCTCATTACGGGTCAGCATGCTTGTATTAACACCACCTGCAAATTCACAAAAAAAAAAAAAGAATCAAAAAATCAAAAATCAAAAAAAAAGACAAGCACATTTGTTTAATATGGATACTCCAAATTTGCTCATTAGATATGTCAGAACACCTAAGGATGATTCGGACAAAATTGAATAAAAATAAAATATATTTTACGTAAAAAACATGAAGCCTATTTATAATTTATAATTCATTTAAATTTCATCAGAATCTCCTTAATTTTTATGAAAATTATGTAACACTACAGAAAATATGAATGGTCTTTAAAATAGGCTGCATAATATAATTTCTTGGATTTCAAATTTTAACATGACTCAGCCTCGGATTTTCAGAAGTGCATCTTAATTAACCCTTGAAGAACATGTCAAAGTATTTCAGCAGTTTAGCTGACAGTAACGTATGTAGTTAGCTTGGCACATCGCTGAACAGTTGCATTTCATCTTCCACTGAATCCTCAACCAAGAAGTCAGAGGTTTATTATAAACCTTCTGGTGCGTGCTCTCATTAACGCTTTGAGGAGTTGCTGCTGTTCGCTCAAATTCTCACATGAAGCTGACAAACGATGAGCTGTCAGCGACCAAAAGCCATTCATTCATAATCAAACAGCAAGGACAAAGAGAGATGATAATGTGCAGTGAAGGGGCTCACAATCATTCCTCCTTCTCACTCGTTCTCCACTCATCCCTCCAAATTGAATACAGATACAAAGAGGGCGCGACTCCCGAGTACCCATTAATGTTTGGTGCGGTGTCTGTTTTCTGCTCCATGGCCTAATGGATTAAAGCACTCCACTCCTCCACCATTGTCTGTCCGGGCAGAAGATTAGACTGACACCAGGGTGATGGCATGGAGCGGGCGGCAATCCCATTTGGACCGTGCAATGTATGTGCGGTGGAGATGTGGAGACGGATTTATCGTGGAGGGAGGAGGGGAAGGATGAGACACAAACGTCATGTGTTCTGGCAGTCACCATTGTCAGCGCGGTGATCTTACTCTTGTCTCAGTATACGATTTTACCCCTAAGGTTCGCTGTGGACTGGTTTCTACAGTCCATGAGGTGACGTGCCATTTAAAGACAGCGGGTACCTGACCTTTTATAACAATCCAGCAAATCAAAATGGATTCTTGTGCTATTTGACCTACTAATGCTGTCTGTACTAATGCTGTACCATAAAAACGGAAAGCTAGGTGTTGGCTAATCCCCCACCCCCGCTGCCTGTCTTAGCAGTAGATAATAAACATGTTTTATTATCTTTATCATGGTCTTTCACTCTCTCCTTTTTTCCTGCGTGATCCGTTTGCTCTTTGAACTACTGTCTGACTGCTAAATTTGGCACAGGAAGTTATTTTCTCTCAGGAGACATTAGATACAGAGGGATCTCCTTAGATTCCCAGTTATTTTATACATAAAGAAAAGGACAAATTCCTGTAGCGCAAGACATATGAGTAATGGTATGATTCCAGCTTATTCTGGCTAAAAATCACCCACTATCATCTAACTGACAGTTAAAGGTGCATTGCGCAACATTTTATGTTAAAAATAGCCGTTTTTCGAACCCATACATGCTTAAACAATCGCCTGATGGGCTGAATGAGCCCTTCTCTGATCACTGCGATTGCCTCTATAATCCTGTACAGTAAAATAAATAAGAGGGATTCGGGAGGGGGTTTGAGACTGGGGGTGACGTCATGTGCGTTCACGCTCGCCTGGCTATGTCTGGCAGGTTTGTGTATTCACCGCCATTCTCCGTATCAGCGACAAACTCGAGCGACAAAACTTTAGTCAACTTTCCACAAAAGTAGAAGATGGATTCAAAGAGACCGGCTTGTAGTTCATTCCAAACCCAAACGCAAACTCCACGTAAGACAAAGAAAATATAGCGTTTGTCTAGTGCCAGGCGTCGGAATAAGACAAGCGTCAACATCAGGAAGGCTTTCAACAAATGGAGAGATCTCCGGTCTGCTCTAGGGCTCAAACGGCATCATACACAAATGAATAACTTATATTGTTCATGAATGTGTATCCATAATAATACAATCATAAGTGGATACAGTAAACACATAAAACAGTTCAACATGGAGATACATGGAAACAAAAACTGAAGTTTTCTACTACCCCCGTTTTCCCCTCGCACATAAGTGTAATTTACTTAAATGCCTTTCATTTCATATATTTCATATATTCATATATATATAGTATAAAAATAAAATATATAAACATATAAAATATATATTCATATATTTTTCAGTCATTTCATATATTTAAAATGACTTGCAGATTTATAACTTTATTACCTCTGAAGACATCATGACTGTAAACAAAAGATTTGAGATTTTCCATGAGCGTGCACACCTCTGGTTGTAGTTTCGCTTGTTGCCACAGGGGGCGTAGTTCTGCAAAAACTCAGAGACTTGCGCAATGCACCTTTAAAGCGGTGGTTCTCAACCATTTAGCTAACTCCGATGCCTTCAAATAATTTAAACGGTTTTATTATATTTAAACAATCTAATCGGATTATATCGCTAAGATGAAAATATATATGTATGTCTCAATAACTACTCTAGACCATACGGTTCTTGAAACTTCTAGAATCACAAAATCAAAGTGTTGTTGTCTGGCATAATGGTTCAGCTCATCTGATTTAAGTGCCTCCTCTTTTTAAAGTGTTGATGATAACCTGCCCAATCCATTGACTAGTTCTTCCTAAGACATTGAACCCTGACTCATGAAAACATGCATCAGATGGTCATGGATGTGCCATGTTATGCTGAGACTAATAAAATAATGACACATAAATCTGTCAGCGTGTCAAACAAACAGTGCATCAAATGCTAATTTATGCACACAGCTAAATCAAACCATCCTGATATACATATAAAGCAACCACAGAATCATTTAGCTCTGCATTTGAATGCAACATTATAATAGTGGTTCAAAAAACTGAAGAGTAATTTCAGAGCTAAGGATTGATTTGAATGCGTCTCACTCAAGGCAGAGGTGCTTCTGTGATGTGGTAATGAGTGACTCTCTTTTGGGATGACATATGCTGCCTCTAAACATCAGCGTCAGTTAAACAGCTCACATCTGCATATGCAATTAAGACCTGCGGGTGGAGCGCTGGTGCTGTTCTGGGCGCCCGCTAACAGCAGGAAGTGCAATACAGTGGACTCTTATAAACGTGTCCCGCCGGATGGTTCCAGCTCACAAATGCCAAACACACATTGAGCACCATCATAATGGTCATTAGCCCCACTTAGATGCGAGAGCAAAATAGAACTCTAAAAAAGGTTAATCATGCATTTTTAATTAGTTATAGCAATTATTAAACCCCCCATGAAATCATTTGAGAAGTTAAGATTCCATTCCTATGTTAATGCATGTAGTCAATGGCCTTTAGTTTGAAGGACACTTTTAAAATTAATAAGATAGTCACTTTCTTTGCAACTGATGTTTGGGAAAGGAAGTAAATAGTAGCCAAATTAATTTATTATGAAAGGGAAGTATGACATTCTCTTTCTAGAGAGAACACATATTTGTGTAATGTAAAATGTGTCAATGTTTTTGGTGCTAATTAATTTTGTTAACTTTTTGGAGAGTGCTAGCATATGACGCCAAAGCTAATGCAAACATCCATAAAACTAAAATAAGCTTAACAGTTGTGACCTGCGGTTCAATTCAGCGTTGTTTAAGTCGTGGTTTATTATTTATGTCCCAGTTCTTGCTGATGTGGTCATATGACCAACAGTCTTTTAAAAAAGGAGGACTTTGTTATGGCTGTTATAATTGTTGCAGCAGATTCTTACTTTTTTTTCTGTCTTTTCATTTCTTCAGGTGCCAGTACTGCAGCCCATGGACCTCATGGTTGAGGCCATGCCTCGGAGAGTGTTTTCCAATGCGCACACGTACCACATCAACTCTATCTCTGTCAACAGTGACTACGAGACCTTCATGTCCACCGATGACTTGAGGATCAACCTGTGGAACCTGGAGATCACAAACAGAAGCTTCAGTATCCTTTGTAGGTCATTAAATCTGACAGAAATATGTTTTCGAAAAGGAAAGTTTCCTTCAGCACTAGGCCCGGCACAATCGTAAACCATTTAGTTGTCAACCTAAAATTATTATTATTATATGATTATTCATGATTCATTGTGCTGCTACCACTAGACCTGCAAGTGTTCCTGAGCTGCTTTTTCAGACATTGTAGACATCAAGCCAGCAAACATGGAGGAGTTGACGGAGGTGATAACGGCAGCAGAGTTTCACCCACACCAGTGCAACACCTTCGTCTACAGTAGCAGTAAAGGCTCCATACGTCTGTGTGACATGAGGGCATCAGCGCTCTGTGACAACCACTCGAAATGTGAGTCAGTGCAACCCTAAAGGAAAAAAAAAACATCAATGAGACAATTGTTGAAATACACAATCATTCAAAAGTTTGGGTTTAAAGAAATTAATCATTCATTCAGCAAGGATGCATTGCATTTATCAAAAGTGACAGCAAAGACATTCACAGTGTTACAAAAGATTTTTACTTTGAAAAATATTAAGCGGCACGATTGTTTTCAACATTGATAAGAAATGTTTCCTGAGCACCAATTAGCATTTTGTGCGTGACACTATGTTTCAAAGTTGCGAATTGGTGCAAAATATCTGCAATAAAATGGAAGTTAAATTACATTATGAAATACATTCAAATAGAAAAAGAGTTATTTTATTCTACTAACATTTCACAATATTACTGTGTTTATGATCAAATACATGCAGCCCTGGTTGAGCATAAGAGACTTCCTTCAAAAACACTTTACTAACCCCAAACTTTTGAATGGTAGTGTACACTTATAAAGTGAATGTGAATAGCTTAGCTCAGATAATTTGCATTATGGAATTTGATGAAAAATATTTGAGTTCATAATTGAAATCTCAGACTTTGTGACAATTGACATAAAAACAAACAAACAAGGGGCGATTGCTTAGAAAAGGGGCAGCACACATCTAATCGCCATACTAGGATTTAAGGTACCATTCATGTCTCTGGCACAAATGGTGCAGAATGCACCAACATATAATATTTAGGATTAAGGATCTGAACAAACCCCCAATAGTTAGGTAACAGCAAACACCACTACTCAGCTTCTCGGAGGCCATTAACATGTTGCAGACATTTTTTTCCCAGTTTAAATGCGAGCTTACTTTTTCCTACCAACATTTATTGTAATATTACATATGGATGGGGCAGTACAGCTCTAGAAACACTGTTGTCTCTAGAGAGCACAGACAGTACATACGCCATGACAGGGATTAGCCTCTCTTCCACCTAGGGCGAGGGCGTTGGAGGTGAGGATTATGCTAATTTTTAATATGATTGCGTCTCCTTGAGCTTAACTGGCTAATTTCATTTGGGGATTGGACACAATGGAGACTGATGAACCTATACTGATGATATACAGTGGCTGCACATGGCTGGATTGATAACCACAAATTGACAGATTTCCATTTCTTAAATCATAGATGCTCGGGTCTCCAGTTTAAGGTGGGAAACATCCATGTGCATTTGATGATCAGATTGAATGCATTGACATTTAAGCTTGGCGTAAAAATCAATGCTCAAGGAGAAGACAGCAATGCCTATAGTTTTCTCACCGCTCAAAGAATTCGGTCATTGCCTTAGCTTCATCGACGTGCTTACTGGTCCATGCGTTCGCATCCTGTTGAATAGACATTTACATACTGCTGCTGAATTTTAAAAGGCCAGATTTGCTGGAGGGGGTAACAACTGTGAGGGCTTGCGTTTTAGCTGTCTTGGTTTGTATCTCCAGAACCACACTGACCTAAATTATACACACATCTGTCAATTTTTTCCCTGGTACATGATCTCACAGCAGGCAGATCTGCCAGTTTGCCTCAGGAAAGACCTCCTCAATGTCTTCTCTATCGCATAGTGTGTGCTGCTCCTTCCATCCACACTAATAAATCTTCCAGACATCCCAGAGAATATTCTTAAAAATCAATCTGCGGTGGCAGGCGGGGGATGCTAACCAAGCCCAGCAGGGCTCCGAGTCTGGGCGGAGGGTTGTGTATCCCCTCATATCACTCCCCAGAGGACTCATTAGCCCCCTCTGAATGACACCCAGCAAGACTGCAGGTGGACAGGCTCACGATGTGACAAGGCACACTCATGACAAACACCTGCAGTCCACCAGTGCCCAAATATCCCCGCAAGCATTGATCTGTTTCCTCCCCCTCTGCTCATGTTTTTTCTTCCGCGGTGTAGATGCCTGCCGACACATCACAGGATAATCCACAACTAAGTCAACAAAACAGTGAGGGGATAATCGATAGTAGATGATAAAAATCTGTTTCTCTACTCTGACAGGCGTATTATTTCCCTAGCGAGCTGGGCAGATTTATGATGTGCTGTGCAGCAATTGGTGAAGCTGATTCAGAAAAACTTTCTTTGACCAGTCGCTTGTTATCAAATCCAACATGAAACAGCACTCGCAATCTATTTGACTTCTTTAATGCGACACACTTCTGAGCGAGATGGGATATTCAGTGTGGACAGGACATGTTCTGATCCTTTACTTATTTTATTTCTAGTTTTTGAGGAGCCAGAAGACCCAAGCAATCGTTCCTTTTTCTCCGAAATCATCTCCTCCATCTCAGATGTTAAATTTAGCCACAGTGGGCGGTACCTGATGACACGTGACTACCTGACAGTAAAGGTCTGGGATCTGAACATGGAGAGCAAACCACTGGAAACCTATCAGGTAAGGCACTTCATTGCATTTAACGAAGTATTGACTATCTTTGAATTCATCTATATGCTGGTGTGCTCCTAAAAGAAGACAAATAAAAACTTTTAGTACATGTAATATTGAGTCAGGAAAATAAAATGCCCTCTAGAATGAGAAGGTCATCTCCCTCAAATTATAAAATACCTTCACTCAGCAATAGCAAGTAGCAAATCACACTTCACTGATGTCTTCGGTGTCTTAATTTATTGACCCGATAGGCACAAAGTGGGACTTCTTCCACCAACGGTCTGAAAAAATAAAACAACATCATGGGGTCTTTAAAAATCATGCATTGTCTAAAAAGAGAAGAATTTTTCATAACCGGTGTCACAAAAATGGTCATCGTTTTCTCCACCAGGTACATGATTACCTAAGAAGTAAGCTCTGCTCGCTGTATGAGAATGACTGCATCTTCGACAAATTTGAATGTGTTTGGAATGGATCAGACAGGTCAGTGCTTTACACAGCTTTACTTTGATGCACATCCTGGTCTTATTGTGAATGGTAAATCAGTGTACAGTTACAAAAATGTAAAAAAAAAAATATTGTTGATTTTTCATTTTGTTCTATTTCCAGCGTGATAATGACTGGTTCCTACAACAACTTCTTCCGAATGTTCGACCGAAATACGAAGCGTGATGTGACACTGGAGGCGTCCCGGGAGAACAGCAAGCCTCGGGCAATCCTGAAACCTCGTAAGGTGTGTGTGGGCGGAAAGCGCCGCAAAGATGAAATCAGTGTGGACAGCCTGGACTTCAGCAAGAAAATTCTCCACACCGCATGGCACCCTTATGAGAACATCATCGCTGTGGCAGCCACCAATAACCTTTACATATTCCAGGATAAGGTCAACTAGCACAACTGTACCACCTCCACATGTTCCTTAAAAGAGCAAGAAAAAGCTGTAGCCCAGCTGGATATTGCAGGGTGTGTTTTGTGATGAGAAACATGAAGTTACCTATGATGTGGGGAGAAGTATGAACAGATGATGCTGGAGAAGAAGGCCATGTTGTGCAAGGATGCTCCCAGACTTTTGCGAACAAGCATCCTGCCCTGCTCAATCATTCTTCCACTATTAAGTATCTGCATTTCCTCTTCCACGAACTCTAGTTTATTTATCGTATTTATTCATTCCTCTGCTGGAAGAAAATACCTGAAACGTCCTAAATCTGGAGAAATTTGCATTTTCATCACAATGATATGAAGAATTTTTTATAAGGCAAAAACAAACCTTGAATAAGACGGGCCTCCGCTGACATCCTGGCATCAGAATCAAAGGGGTGCCTTTACTTACAAAAAACTATGGATTTTCATTTCCTTTGAAACACAATGCCCCCCGACTTCCTCCGAAGTGTCTGACTGATCCGTAACAGACTAAGACTGTTACTTTGCGCTGATTGTAGTGTTGAGACAAACAATCTGTGGATGGAATCACAGCATTTAGTGTCCTGATTGGCCCTCTTGAATGGAGCCCTGAAGTAAAAGTCAATCCCATTGGTTATGTCTTGTCATTCCATGTTGTCCTCTTATTTTGATGTAACCATTAATAAGCTGTGGTGCCTTCTTTTCGTATGTGGGTACTGGGGAGGCTGGTGGGTGGGAGGGCTTTTGGAAGGGTGGTATTTGGGTTGTGAAGTGTGAATGTTTTTACAAGAAATGTGAAGAATATCTTTGTGTAAGAAGGGGAAAGAATTGCAGCGACGTGATTTTACAGTACACAGAATTGAAGTACTTGAATTCTGCATTATAGTCTCCACTTTATCTCAGTATGCTCATGACTTATACATGACAGTATACCCTGTTTTTTTATTCTTCAGTGCCGTGCTGGGTGAAAAGTATTGCCGTATTGCATGCAACTTGTCATCTATAATGAGCCAATGAAGAAAATATATGTCCCGCACCATCAAATGAACCTGTAACAATCAGATGTCATTTTTTTTACATGGTTTCTGCTGCATCTGTCTGAGACTGTTAAAACATCATCATTCAGTTACTTTGGCCTGAGGATGACAGGAATGCCGGTATCATGATGTAGCCTATACATGACGTGAAGGTTAAATGATATCAGGGAATTTTATTATGTACAAATTAACCAATAATGTTCTCTTCTGAAGAATAAAAACTTCAGTTGTAAACTTCTTAATGAAACAAAGTTTTATAGCTCAGAATGTATCTACACCCAAATATTTGCCATGCAGTCTTCATGTTTAATGCAATTCGTTTAAATAAAAAGAAACGAAAAGGAAGTTGAAATAAAGCTGTTTCCTGCTCTCCTTTTCACCACACGTGAATTAAACAATGGCGCCCTCATGTGACAGTTCACGAGACACTCGTATCAATCAAATTCAAAGAATGAATAATTCCGCAATTTACTTACCCACGTTGTTCCAAAGCCATTACTTTTTTTCCTCTGCAGAGCACAAAACAAATGTTGGTTAAACTTTATTTTAAGGTGTCATTGTTACGGTTTAATTGTATATTTAAGTATTTTAATTAACAGTGTTCTTACTATAAGGTTAGGGTAAGATATGGGTTTGGATGAGGGTTAGTTGCATGCCATTATGCAAAATGTAGGCCAACTGTTATTACAAGGTAATGGTATGTAACATGTAACAAGAACACTAAAAGTTGCCGAATATATTTGGCAGCAGATTAGAAGAGGTGGGCAGTAGTAACAGATTAGGCTAAATTTAATAATGTTTTTTTTTTTTTTTTTTTTTGAGAAATTGTACTTTTAAGAGTAGATTTGAATGTAGGTACTTTAACTCGAGTACATTTCTAATTACTTTATTTTAATGCAATATGTTGTTAAATGCGTAGTTTATTCCAAGCGCGCTGTGTCTTTTTTCGGGGCAAGAGCGATGCTTTATTCACAAATGAATCACTCTTTTGAGTCGATTCTGTTCAAAGACGTTGGCAGAACCATGATGTCTATGGGCAGAACTGTTTAAATCGGTTCGCAAAACGGTTTGAATGATTTTTTCAGTTTCCTGCACCCACTGAATCGTCTGAAGCGGTTTCCTGGCTGTTTCACACTCGGAGTCGTAAAAGGAAGAACTAAGAACATCGAAAGCGTACAGATAAGTGAAAGCAAATCTGCAAATGCATAATTTTGTTAGCCAGCGATGAAGATTTTTATTATGTGAATATCTTCGTATGGCCTACTGTGAATGAATGATTAGACTTTTGGATCCGATTCCATTTCATTATAAAGTATGACATTACCAGTTTTTTGGACATACACATATATTTTTATACATTAAATCAAATAACCTACAATTGTTCAAGTTTATGAAATGAACAAACGCCATCCCGCGGTAGTTTGTGTGTATTGCGCAGTGACGTGCATGCGTGGTGGGAATTCAAGTTACTGAAAACAGCTTGAAAACGTAACAGGGTTACATATGCCAGAAATAATGCTCGTCTATTGTGTTTTTGTGGTAAAGATAGCCTAAATGATAATAGTAATTTAAATAAAAACAAAATCTAAATAATAACATATAGCCCTATATGATTTTTTTTTTACTTACTCAACTAGGTTTACTACTTTTACTTTGAATAAAAATTTATTCAAGTAGCCTACTTGTTTTACTTGAGTAGTTTTTGGATACTCTACCCAGCATATTAGGGACTGACAACCACTTCTGACAATTGATGTGAATATAAGTAGTATTTTGAGTTACAGGTTTGTTGGATTCATAGAATAATAATAACACTTCATAATAACTTTAATTGATAATAATAAAACTGACAGATATTAATAATTATATAATTCTTAGATTATTAGACACAAATCATAACCTAATGGTTTTCCATGTCGTTGTTCAATATTTTTTGTGACACTTAAGTGTTGGCCAAACGTTATGCGTTTACAATTCAAGTTTAAACATCTAACTTTAGCTATCGTGAAAAATGTTGTAGGCCTATACTATAAAGTGTTACCAAAGCAATATGTCAAAGTAAATTAAAATAGGATACCTGTCAGTTTGTCTTTGTTCCTGAGGTAAAATCTCTCATCAAAATTCATTCATATTGCTACTCCATATTTCCATTTGCAATCATCAAACCTTTGTCTCCGGCAGGAAATAAAAAATCCATAATCTCCAGTGACAATAGAAGCAATAAGTTTGACACCGTGTGTAGCCGTCAGTGCTTATTACCCGAAATCATTTTAATTGGCCTCGGGAGGGTCGCGACGGGCGAAATGAAACGCTGTCAGTCAGCTGGGGACGGCACCTGTCAATCAAAACGTCCGTTATAAAGTCGCTCCGCTTTCGCGCCGTCTAGTCAAAGGCGGGAAAAGATCGCGAGGATCCGTTCCATAAGCGCGTGGAGTATATTCGCGCATAGACGCAGTTTTGAGACAGCATATCTCTCTCTTCTCTCCAAATACTGCCAACTATTTCTTTCATTTACCAATCAATCACAGTGAAAATGGATAAATTACCTGTTATGAACATCAGCTCTGTCAACAGTTCCGTGGATAGACGCTCATTTCTGGAGAGAAGTGGCTATCAGCACCTGGATCACGGAGATCTGAAGGTTTTGATTCCAGTAGTGCTAGGAATCATCTGCGTCCTGGGTTTCACCGGGAATGTAACTGCTATAGGAGTCCTGATTACCAATGCGCGTAAAGGTAAGCTGTCCTTGATCAACGCACTCATCCTCAACCTCATGCTGGCTGATGGTCTGGTCTTGGCATTTGCTGTTCCCTTCAAAGCCACTGCTTATTCCCGTGCCAGCTGGACCCTGGGATTGTTTGTCTGTAAAACCTGTGACTGGTTCCTGCACTCCTGCATGGCCGCAAAGAGCTTCACCGTGGCCATCATGTCCAAAGCTTGCTACAGGTATGTCAGTAATCCCACCAAGCAAGTGACCATCCGTTTGAAGAATATCCTGGTAGTCCTCCTCTTCACTTGGCTCTTGGCATGCGTAGTCCCAATTCCCCAGTGGCTTTTTTCCACCCTGCAAAGAGAAGGAAATGGAATGATCTGTGTTCAAGCAGTGCCTGTCGAAGCCCATTATTTTATGTCTGTGTATGCCAAGGCGTACCCTCTTCTGACCTACTGTACACCTTTGAGTTTTGCACTACTTTATTTCTGTAAGACGTATGGACGATGCCAGCACAGGTCCAGCAAGACCCAGAACCTGCGGACACAGATCAGATCCCGCAAACTCACCCTGATGCTGTTCAGCCTGACCGTGGCCATGGCCACCATGTGGCTCCCACAATGGGTTTCCTGGGTTTGGATGCGGCACGCGCTGGAGACCGAAGGTGCCTTCCCTCCGGTGATCTTCACTCTCTCTGCCCAGCTCCTCATGTTCTCCATTTCTTTAGTCAACCCTGTCATCGTTCTCGCACTCTCAGAGGAATTCAGGGAGGGCTACATAGGCTTGTGGCGTAGACTCACCCTCCGCAAGCAACCAGCAAAACACAAGCCAGGACCACACACCCCGACCGCCCCAAAGTCGCCGACCCCAAGACCTGAAAGATCAGCCCACCTCCCTCCACACCAGCCAGGGAAAATAGAGGAGCAAAAGCCTGAGAAGCAACCGGACCAGTGTGAAGGACAGCAGGAGAGCCCGACCAACAAGGATGGAATTGTACTGCCGGATGTAGAGCAGTTTTGGCAGGAGAGGGAAACCGGCTCCCAGTCACAGGAAAATGATCCTATACCCTGGGAGAACCAGGATCCCAAGCAAGGAAAACAGTAAGACAGTCTGAATCTACCTGCCTCTTTTTCATTACATCAACATAAAAGAAAAACACATACAACACATCAGACCTCATCTCATAAATTATGAATTTATTTAATTTTGTGTGTTTAACTATTCTTAAAAAAAAAAAAAAAATGGAGAAAACTGGTATAATTTATTAGGAATAAATGGAAATATCTGTATTATTTGTATTGTATTATGTTGTTAAAAATGAAGTATTATGTAATAAAATAGGTAGAGATATCACTAAAGAAACCAGTGTGTTGTGACGTCTTGTGCGCAGAGGTCCATCAAGACAATAACAATGCTGAAAAGCTTTGCATAACTCTCTCCTGCCTATAGTATTAATAAAAATAGATGTTGAAATATTACTTTTATTGCAACCTGCATTTGCCCCTTTTTGTTTATAGATTTTTAAGATGGCAATAAAATGTCTACAGAATGAATATGCTATAAAAGAAAGTATTTAGGAAATGGCATGTGTGAAATAAATTGTAATATATTACCTGAGGAGTTGTGTTCTTCTTGTGGTCTGCTATGAGCTTTTTCTATACATATTTGTGCAAACACATGCACAATGTAAAATCCAGTCAACATAAGTAAAAAAAAAAATGGGTTGCTTTTATTCAACTTCAGCTGTACATAAAGCAAGTCCGAAAAACAATATCTTTTTAAGAAACATCTGAACGATTAAATTAAACCGTAAGACCAGTTGACATGGCCAACTGCCAGTGCTCATACGGTCAGTCATAACACATTGTAAACAAGCTAATGAATACATATTACGCATACATATTCATCACCTAGAAACATCTTTCATGTTAACCCAACAGTTAAAATGACATACACAGAGATGCTTTCATAATTCTTGAATATCCCTGTGGGTGACTTAAGTCACCAAAAAATGTTCACAAAACCGGGAGGTTCTCCCAATTTCATCAAATCACAGTTTCTAAACAGTTTGGAGCAAAAGTGTGAAATGTGAAACTGAATTGAGGTTTGTGATTTGAGACCGTGGCGGGAGGGAAAAAAAAGGGTCGACAGGCACCAGGTGGCGATACCTCCAGAAGACGTTCAGGACAGTTACCCAAACACGAGACCGATTCTCTACAATCACCATTTAGCATCTAATGTGGATTTATCCCTTCAGACTGGACAGATAACGAGTTGGATAAGGACATAAAAATACTGTGGATCGTTATGGAGATGACATTGAAATGCATCATTAAAAAAAAAAAAATTCCAGTTGGTCCAAATACGTATTCTGTGTCTTATACTCAGCTGATTTGATTGGTCATTATCCCATGATCTTCTTTATGGCATGAGGGGGCAAGTAGGTATGTACCATTCACTTTCAAAGGTTTGACAAGTAGAACCTTTGGACTGGAGTGATTTATCTTTAGGTTTCTGAGAGTCTATAATGTGAACGGTGGTAGTGTGGGACAATATCTGGGAGGTGTGTGTGATATCATTTAGTGGAGCGTCGAGCAGGTTCAAAGGCAGTGGGAGGAGGAGGTGGTCCCCTGCGGTCTAGCTCCTCCACATATCCCATAAGAAGTTTGTGCCTCTCTTCTGACATACAGTCCAGAACCAGATACCTTTTATCCTTTTCCAAGATCTTCTCAATGTCCGACAAGTGCTGCTCTGACTCCTGCATCAACTTGTGTGATCTGAAGACGGAATGGAAGACATTAAAATTAAAATGTCAAAACTCAAATCATTCAACCTGTTGAGATTACTGTGTTAACGAGTGTTTCAAATTACTTTTGGAACCAGACCGGGTTTATCTGTGAAATTCACATAGGCAAGGCAACATCCAGAACCACATTAAATAATAAATAAACAACAGAGAGCCAGTCAGAAAACCCTAGCAACTGCATAGACCCCAGCTAAAATACTTCCACAACTAAGTGGCATGCCTTTGAGCTTCTTCTTTTAAATTTTGACCACTCTGTTTTTAAAATGAAAACTTATTGGAAGATGAAATACAGTTGCAAAACAAAATTATTCAACCCCCAGAGACTGTAATAATTTACAAAATGTAGGGTTTTCTCAAGATACAGAGTTCTTTAAAAACTATTTATAACAGTTTCATAAATTCACACTTGCATGTAATTAGAGCTTAATGCTTATTTGGCGTGCTTTTGGAGGGCTCCAAGCTCAGAATTCAGCCCAAACCCAGTGTAGTTTATTTTGATTTCAGTACTTTGAGCAGATTTTTTTTTTGTAATACAGCCGTCATAATTTTTCAACCCCTACTCAACTCCGCTGTTTTTAAGTCGCTTATTTGTATGGTACAAAATTGGTAATACACAATTAAGACTTTGGAAACTCTATAAAAAAATTTGCTTGTGTCATTACATATACATCCATTTAGCCCATGAATGTGATAGATGAGTAGCAAATGTGGCCAAGTCAAAAGAGCTTGCAAAAAGCTATAGAGAAAATTGTTTTGTTACATTAGAATGTTTATGGCTATAAGATGATTTACGAAACACTAAACGTGTCTAGAGACAGCTGTCAGCCTTATTCTTAAGTGTATATATATATATATATATATATATATACTGTATATATGATTGAATTTATATAGGATACCATTATTTAATGATTCCTGAAAATTATCTAGAATTTCAGAATCATATATTTGAAGCTTCTTACTTGTAGGTGATGAACTTGGTCTCTTTCAGGAGAGTTCTGAAGTCTGCTTTGGCCGTGATGTACTTGTCTTTAACGTAATCACTAAACTCCCTCTGTCTTTTCTATGGTGAAAAGGTGAACAACAGGTTCAGAAAATTACTATAAAGACATACTATAAGAACATACTATAAACTATATAGACTTACTATAAAGATATAACTATATAGACTTACTATAAAGAACAACTCATTCAAAAAGTTCAAGAGGCAAAGACAGGCCTTACTCTGTCACTGCTTGAAAACTTGATGCATCTCGGATCTTCTTTAATGAGTTTCTTCACTTCCTTCCATGACGTCATCAAAGTGATCTGATGTAGAGGAAGGAATATGAGTCAGTTGAATAAGCTGAATACAACAGATTAACTGACAACGATCCGAGTAAGACAAGTGATCCATGTCATGGTGTCAGGGCACTTTGTACCGAGGTCGTTTCGTCCAGAAGTTGGCGAAAATGCTCCTTTTTCTTCTTTGCAAGAGCCTCAATGTGTTCATTGAAGAGCCTCTCTTTCTCATCCCTCTCCAGCAATGAGGATGACTCCCAGCGATGATCCTTCCTCAGGCTACGACGCGTGTCTGACCAGGCGGCATCAGGTGTCTTTACCTGTCACATTCAGAAAACCACAACAAAGACACTTTTACAATATTAGATTTAAGATTAAGTTTATATATGAAGAATGGTGATGTGTTTTAACCAATCACATTACATACAAATATACAAACATTTTTCATAAATTGTAAAAATTGCATTAAGTAGTTGAATAGCTGTAACAAGCTTATTTCTGTTGTATATTGGTTATGAGATATTCAATCTGGCATCATGACATGAAGCCATACTTGAACACTTTATATTACCATATCAGACATGAGTGCTTTAAAATGCTGCACGGCCTCCTCCCTTTTGTGCTGCTCTCTCTCACGGTCAATCTCTTTGGTTTGCTCCGAGCGGAATCTCTGCACCATCCGCTCTCTTTCCCTCAGACTGGCCTCTATCCGGGCCTGTTTCTCTAGCTCTTTCTCTTTCTCAGAGTTTGGATTCTGGATGAGTATCAAAATCAAGGATCAGGGCAAATTCTCCACAGAAGAAATTACATTCATCACCAAACAAAGTAAATGCTTATAAATAAAGTATTGTTATCAAGACATGTTTGTATGCGTCTTTTGAACACTCTGTAAAATTATACAAATCCCTATATTTTTATGCCTTTCTGAATTTTAGTTCTCTCTTATTGTCTAAAAATAGCACAGGGTTGGGCTGGCACCAAAACATGATGTAAAGTGAAGCGGCTTCTCTAACCTTGGCCAGACGCTCCACATAGTTCTTGAAGAGTTCCTCTCGAGCTGCAGAGGTTTCCACAGCCTTATAACGAGGGTCAGTCTCCATCTTTTCCTTCACTTTGCTCCAGCGCTGCTGACCATCCACATGGTAATCTGACAGGAGCTCAAAAAAGTCTTGCTTTACCTAAAAAGAAAACAATAGCAACATAAATGTAGTGGGATATGCCCCTAACACTTAAGAGTGCAGACACACAGGTTTCAATTTGGCCTGTCTAGGCTGGTAGGCTGGATGCTGTTTCAAATACCACATGGGACAACAACTTCTCACTCGCCACAATTGCGCCGTTGAGCTGGGAAAGTCTGCTAAATTATCACTTGTATAACTGTACGTTCACACCGCCACCGGCGAGAGTGTCAAAGTGGCCGGAAGTCATTCATTTTCATTGAGAGCCGGCGGCGAGCTCCGGCGAGAGCGGCGCGGTGCGTTTCGGACAGCGAGAGCGGCGAGTAGAGTTGAAATCAGTTCAACTTTATGGTAATAAGCAATGACGTGGTTCGGCGGCAACCGGCGGCAGCCAATCGGAATGTAGAAGTGCTCCGTTTGAGAGAATCCCAGAGAACGCAGTCCTGTAAACTTTGGTTCCGGCCACATTAGTTCCCAAGCAAAATAGAGGAGGTTGATAATTTGAATTTGATAAGAGGGCGCGCAACACTATTTATAGGCAAGATTTTCGTGCTAGAACACTTTTTTTTTTAGCGAGAATGCAAATTATAATAGCACTCAACCATGAACACACAAGCCACACCACACATGTATGGCTTTTATTTTGTTTATTTCGTTAGCAAACATGTCACTATAATTTTAAAGTTATTTCCATCGATCAATTTTCTGCAATTCGAAAATTCGATCTACGTCAGAGCATCAGAGCATCCACTAATCTTTCCACGGCGTCGTTAACAGAGCAGCAAGAGCGAATTTTGCCGCTCTCGCTGGCGGCGGTGTGAACGTACAGTTACCTGAGTAATATTTTGTTGGAGACTGGGACAGTTTCAGTATACTTATGAACTATACACTCACCAAAAGGATGATCAGGAACACCATACTAATACTGTGTTTGACCCGCTTTCACCTTCAGAACTGCCTTAATTCTACGTGGCATTGATTCAACAAGGTGTTGAAATCATTCTTTAGAAATGTTGGCCCATATTGATAGGATAGCATCGTGCAGTTGATGGAGATTTGTGGGATGCACATCCAGGGCACGAAGCTCCTGTTCCACCACATCCCAAAGATGCTCTATTGTGTTGAGATCTGGTGCTATGTGATTGGTTGTGATTGTCAATGGCAACATCTCAAAAAATTTGACTGAAACGACACCTGATCATTTTTAATACAGTTTAATCACGGAATTAGATGGGCATCCTCTGGTGAACCCCACTTGGTGAACACTCCCTCCTAACCTATGGCCCCCCTACACAGGTGACATTTCACTGGCATTAATGTTTGATGGCTGACCTTTAGCTGCCAAAGCCAATCAGCTCAGGCTTTCTGCACTTAACCCTAGCCACAAAGACAGCGCATATGTAGATCAAACACCAGGGCAGATTACAGTTCATAAACAACTTCCAGACACTCACAGTCTCCTAGCCTCAGCCTACGAGTGTACTCTATGTGAACATGTAGTCTATTAAACGAAATTCGATTTCAATGTGAAATGCTTTGGTAGGTTGCCCTGGTTTTTCTTGGTCTACACATTGAGCACTTGTTTCTATTGTATTAAATGTCAGTTAAATAACAAGGGACACTTCTGAATGATTAATAAGGCTGACATCTCAACTCATCTTTTGGTCAAATAAGGCAACAGATGTGTATTAACTTCCTATAAAGTTCCTCACCTTCTCCCCACGGTTCTTTGAGTTCTCTTTCTCTTTCTTTCTGAAGGCGGTCATAAATTCGATGAAAATGGCTTCTCTGTCTTTCATCTTTTCAACGGCCTTAAAACGTGAATCCCTGGCATGTTTGGCAGCAAACTCACTGAAAGTTGTTCTGTGAAGAGAAAAAAAGTAGTCCTTGTACGTAGTTAGGTTATGCATTTAACATTTGTACATTCATTACAATGCAAGAGGAGAATGGGTTCCCTTCTCTCAAGGATTTTTCTTCTACCGAATATTTGACTAGTCAGTTAAGCTAGTCAACTTGGAAATAGATTTGTTAATGTATTATATTTGAAAAGTGTATTGCACATTTGGTGAGTAAGACAACATTTTTTTTATTTTTTTTTTGACACCCTGTGACTGGTTCAGAGAAATGTCCACTGGGAAGATGAGCAAGGTGAGGGAGTATTTTGAAAGCCTACACAAATCTTTTCCCTTTTCTTCGGTCATGTAAAACTAGTATATAACAATTAAGCTGGCTTATAGACTTATAAAACTAATTGTTATGAGGGATTAAAAGACAATTCCATCCCTGATATGCAAGTGGTTGCAGTGGTAATAATCAACAACAGCTTAACGTGCTGACTTGCGTGGACTACCATTTATTTGAGAAAATGTTTTTTATAGGCTATTAGGTTTGAACTTATTGACACTGTGCTGTGCTTGCACTGCATATTCCTAAGATGCCACACAAAGCAAAACATTTTAAAATATGTTATCGTTTAATAACCTTCCTGGATCCATTTTCAAGGAGTTTATCAAAATTAAACCAACACAAAAGTGCACACCGATATTACAAACATTGACCATTTACCTGACACCAAGTTTAGCCTCCTCCATCATTTTCCTGAAGTCATCTTTGACCTGCATGATTTTATTCTTTTTCTCTTTCCTCTCCTCCTCAGCACGTGTCTTCACATACTGATCAAACACCTGCAGAGGGGACAGTGCCATGAGATGAGTGGGCGAATGTACAATACATTTGGAGGCTGATATGAACCTGTTTTCACACAGTGGACATAGTAGCGGCTAAATACAGTGGAATGTGTACCTGTTTCCTCTCTTTAGGATTGAGCAGCAGATAACGTGGATCGAATACAATCTTATGAAGCTCCTTATCCCAGGTAGAGAATGCAGAAACCTGATAAAAGACAAGAAAAGTGTTGAGAGATTCATTTGAACCCCCCTTCCTCTTAATTAGGGCCATTATAACGAGAAGAGAGCGTTCAGTAGGTGAGCCCCTCTGAGCTCGTCCCCCTCCTGCAGAGCTGGAGTCAGGGTGTGTGAGCCCACTGCTTTTCATCCTCCATTCCACCATCCCTAATGAATGACACAAACCCGACAGGTGGCCCTCAGCTTCCTTCTCTTAGCCTACAACCCTTTCTTTTCCCACCATGCTAATTGGTGCAATGAGAGAGGTGTAATTAGATGGGGGGGGTGGGGGGTGAACGGGCAGCTCGTCTATTGGAGTGATGTCGACTATATGCTGCTGTACGGCACCTCTCAGACACGTGGGGGTCCGAGGATGAGGAGGAGAAGTGGAGGAAGGGGTATTACCTTGATGATGAGACCCTTTGACGACTGCAAATGTGCCTTTCATCTTTGGCATAGGACGGTGATGCAAAGGGCAGATACCTCTCTACAACAGACTTGAAGGGATCTCCATTACATAAACGACATATGCGTTTATCCATATTTCATAGTTGAAACATCAAATCTGTTGCCAAGAGGCGGGAGATGTGAGATCCTGACATTTTCTACTGATCAGAGAAGCACTGATCAGTGAAGTATTTTAATGAGGACTGAAGCTTAAACAAATGATGGGTTTGACCTTTAAGACCAGAAAATAAATATATAAACTACACTGCGTGAATCACCCCCAGCAAAATCCCTCAGACATTTTGTTATGAAATATCTCAGGGATTAAACAGTTCGTTGATTTAGTATATCAGTATAAACTGGATCTAAAAGTGGGTTTAGAAAAACTCCTATTTAAGGAGTAAACACAGTTCTGCTTTGTAAGTATAATTAAGAGCAGAACAATCTCACATGATTTATGTTATACTTACGAAAAAAAGACATATAGTCTCAAATGTTCGGGGTTGGTTTCTTTGAATGTTTTTGAAAGGAGTCTCTTTTGCTCACTAAGGCTGCATTTATTAAAAAAGAAAAGAAAAGGTAAAACCAGAATATTGAGAATTTACAAAAAAAATTTTTAATTGTAGTTTTTTCCTGTAATGGCAAAGCTGAAATTTTAGCATCATTACTCCAGTTTTCAGTGTCACATGATCCTTCAGAATTATTTCTAATATGCTGATTTGGTGCTTGAGAAACATCCCTTTACTAGCACCAATTTAATATCTGTTGAAAACAGATATTATGCTGCTTAATATCTTAATGGAAACTGTGACACTTTTCTCAAGATTTTTTGAAAATAGAAAGTTCAAAGAACAGTATTTATTTGCAGTATAATTGTTGCATCACTTTCGTTTAATTAGTGTCAAGTATGAATTACTTTTAACTTTCTGACTTCGTCTATCTATCTATTTACACACATATCTGTCAATAGATACATTTTAATCGTGATTAATTGCATCCTTTATTAATTGCATACTTTTGTCGATTGATCACATTTATCCATCAAATAAACTATTAGATTGGAAAGGTGTGGTTCTCTCAACACTACTTTCTACAAGGTTTTTTCCAAGGTAAAGTACACCAAATAACCAAATAATACATGGTGTCCATATAATTAAAAAGTTAATGCACACATGAAAAAAAAACTTCAGAATTCAGTGTACAATATGTCTACAATGCAACAGCAAAGAGCTTGCCTTGTTTACATATTAAACAAGTCAAGTTGCGATACAGAGCAGGACGAGAATCGCATGCATTAACGCATTCATTTTGACAGCCCTAATACATATTACTTAATGTGCTCGCATAGTTAAACTGTTTATGCCTTACCCCTCGCTCGAGCAGCATGTCTTTAAATTGACTCATCCGAGCTTCCTGAGGTACCACGGCTCTCTCGCGCGCTGCCTTCAGCTCAGCCTCCATGGCTGCCTCCCTTTCCGAGTCGACCTCTTTCTTCTCCTCTATCCTAATACACAAAACAACTAATTAGCCAGAAGACATGTCTGAGCAAAAACAGGCCTATTCACGTCAAGTCACATGAAAAACATGCATTAGATGGTTGTCCTGGCTTTTCTTGGTCTACACATTGAGCACTTTTTTCTATTTTATTAAATGTCAGTTAAATAACAAGGGCCACTACTGAATGTTTAATAAGGCTTTTCAAGTGACAATTTCCTCTAATGGGGAATATTAAAATCAACAAAGTCAAAACCAACCCTGTTTACTTTCTTGATACAAGTTCCTGGTCTCATGAACTTGTACGGTTTTATTAAGCAGAGAAAATACAGAAAAAAGTTCTCACTTTCGTTTCTTGGCCTTACTGGGTTCATCATCCGGTATGTCATCTGCAATAGCAAACTCCTGTTCCTCTTTAGCCAACACTGTGCCACAGGAAACACACAAAAAATGCAACAGAACATTTAGACCGCTATTAAAAAGCTGTTGAATGAGACTTCATGCTTCACGCTTCATGCTCACAGCTGACTTACAGACCCTATCTTAACCATAGAAAAAGCTCACTGGTGCGCAATATTAAATTATCAAATTTGTTCTGGACATGGTTTAGATAAAGTGTTATTTTAATTCTCTCTAGACGTCTGCCAATAAATACATGAATAATCTGTCGTGAAAAAAATGCAAATACTTGATAGTAGAGATATGAACACATGCATATGGGAGATGACTATTACCCATTTTGTGGCTGTTGTCCAGGCCTCTTTTGTGCAGAGGTTCCTGAATCGCTTTATCTACGTCAACCCGCCCCACCAGCTCCTCTGGTCGCTCCCACATGGACAGACGTGTGGTGGGGTTATAAAAGAACACCCGCTCGTCGCCCGTCCACACCACACACCTGACACATAAGCATAAGCATTGGGTTCAGGTCAATCCAATACAAAGAGGGAACATTCAAGAGCTCCAACTATATCATTTGGCATTTATAGGTGAAACTCGAAAAAATTTGAATATCGTGCAAAAGGTGTTTTCATAAGCTGTAAGCCATAATCATCAAAACTATAACAAATAAAGGATTGAAATATCTCACTTTAAATGTAAAGAGTCTAAATAATACATTCGTTTCACCTTTTAAGTTGAATTACTGAAATAAAGTAACTTTTGCACGATATTCTAATTTTTCGAGTTTCACCTGTAACTGCAAGTGAACTCATTTTGAGGGTGATTTACAAATACTAAAAATGCATATTTAATGTAGTTAAATCAAGTTGCCTACCATGGCGTGCCAGGAATAGGCGTGGTTGCTACAGGCTTTGCTTTTTTCGCTGCCTTCTGTTCCTCTGTCATCTCTTCATCTTTCAGCTCCTTTGCGTAATGCACAGATGATGTCAGAAACACTCGTTTATACAAAACTATTTAGAAAACTAGGTATGTTACCCATGCCAACCTCTTTCTGCTCTTTTGGTGGGTGGATTTTTGGGCTTTCATCTTCCATGTCCATGATTTCAGCATCAATCATGTCAACAGCTGCATCCTTGATCTTCTCACTCTCTTTTTCTATAATGGGAATATGGAGATGAGCAATTGTCAAATCTCATAAAAGTCTCATTTCAGAAGGCTGTATTCAGGAAAACACACAATAACTAATATGCATATTAAATAACTACAATTTATGCTTATTTGCTTTTAACTATAACTTAATAAAAAAAATTAATTTGCTAGCTAAGACATTATAGCACTAGGGCTTCTAAAAACACACATTATGAAAAAAGAAAATGCCATTGGTATTTATTTTTTACAAGTCAAACCATTGCCTCATGTTATTGGCTTTTTACATCTGACACCGATTGAATATTGTTGCACACATGCAAACACAGAAATCAGAAATCTGATTTTTCCACATCCTCTCAGAGCCACTTTCAAATGTGGTTTTAAATCAGATGCAGATCCAATTTGTGGACTTCAACTTGTCATATCCAATATATATCTCCATGCTGGCAAGTGATAAAGGTACAAGTCGCATATATAAAAAAACAAAACTATTTTTTATATATATACAGAGATTCAATACCCGAGGGTCAACCATGTCACTACAAGTGATCACCAATGGAATAATTCTAGTTTGGGCAGGGATTAATGTAAACGCCAATATCAGTGTCCTAAATAAATGTAAACAGAAGGGACAAAAAAAGTAAGATATGTTTAAAAGAAAAAACTTGCAGTGTAAATGCAGCCTTTGTCCCAGTCTCTAGTCTAACCTGTCTCTTTGAGCTCTTCTGGTTTGTCCCAGGTGGTCTCCTGTGTGTGTTTATTGTAGTAATAGGACTTTCCCTCTTGGGTTTTGAACTCAGACCACTCGGATGTACTCAGAGCTCCAGACAGTCCTGAAGGCCCGGCCATCGCCATTTGATGGGGCATCATGGGTACTAAAGGTGGTGCCATGCCATGAAGCATACCTTGACATAACAAACACAATCAGAATCAATTCAAGACATGTAGCACTTCTCTGCCACAATCAAAATGACAGAAAAATTGTTGTATTAAAAAACAACATGGCAAAAAAAAAAAAAAAAACAAGTTCAAAAAAGGGGTTAATATCAGAAATTAAGGTTATAAAAAATGATTATTTAGCCACAGTACAATGTGTGTTGGATGATTTAATTACTGCACAAAATATAACAAAAAATCTAAACACTGAATTAAATATGAGAATGAGGCATGCAAAGACAATACCACCACAATATCACATTAATTTAAAACCATTAAAGAAAAAGGGACACAAGGTAAGAACACATTTACAACAAATCAAAACACTGTTTTATGAATTTCTATGGCAGTTTATTATCTACGTTACTGCCTACAACTCAACTGTAACTTAACATTTTACATAGTTGGAGTAAATCAGTTTCTGTCCCTTCGAAGTCAAAAAACAAGTCATAAAAGTGGCATGATGTTGTTTAAGGGATAGTTGACTTTGAAATTAATTTTTGGTATGTTTTTGCTTACCTCAAGGGCATCCAAGATGTAGGTGTCTTTGTTTCTGCAGTAGTTTCAATTTTGATTTTTTTAGGTCAAACCGTTCTTGTCTGTCAGTCATATAATGCAGGTCTATGGTCACCACCTCAAAGAGCGTGCACAGAGAAGTCCAAATTAAAGGTGCTATATGTAACTTTTCTTCTAAAAATTAATGTGTTTTTTATTGCCTGCGTGTGAAGGGGTTGTAATCACACACTACAATGACCAACTTGTCGGGTTTTGCTATTACCTCTGAAGGCCAGTATTCCTATTTCTATGTGAAGTCTCCGGGTCGGATTGTCTGCCAAATCCATCGGATGTGACGTGCATGCACGCTCCCGAGCCTCTCTCCTTTCTATATACTATCTATTTGATGGCACTGCAGTGAACAACATTTTTATTGTGAACTATTTTTATTGTGATAAATTACAAGTTTTCAGATATGCTGAAATAATGGTAAACTGTAATGAAACAGCAAGGTAAACTACAACACAAACATTAGACATGAAATGAAAAAAAAAAGACTGTTCCAGGATAACAAAAAGTAGGTGCTTTAGGATGTAACTTTATGCCGCTTCGGTCTGTGCAAGCGCCGGAAGTGATCTCTTCGAAAGTGAAGAGTTCGCGCGAGCATACATAATTGTTTGGAGACATTGTTTCAACACATCCCATATAGCGCAAATTAGTACCATATATAATACTGTTCGTTTTCTTACACAAACTGCTCGTTTCGTGTCTTGGACCATCAATGTGTACTTACATTTACGAGTCATTAAATCATGTTTAATTTGGACTTCTCTGTGCATGCTCTTTGAGGTGGTGACCATAGACCTGCATTAATAATATCAAAATATCAAAATTGAAAATACTGCAGAAACAAAGACACCTACATCTTGGATGCCCTTGAGGCAAGCTAAAACATATCAAAAATTAATTTCAAAGTGAACTATCCCTTTAAAAGAATGTCTAATTAGTAAGAAACAGAAGGGCCTCTAATTTGGAAATAATTACATTGAAAGAAAGCATAAAGATGCACAACAGTTACTAACATGCCATAATGGGGAGGGAATTACCGTTTTTGGTAGGAGAGATAGTCTTTACATAGGGACAGCTGACTATCTGCATCATTGCTACACCTGAAAGAGCGTATAAGCAAGCACAGAGTGTTGGAAAAAACAAACATACGTCATCTACTGCTTTCAGGTGTCAGGAGAGTAAATGCTAGATCATTTATGATGAAAATACTACAGTATTATCTAACATTGCTAACTGATCTTTAGTCAACTGAATTTAGGCAATAACGCCAGCCTATGTTGCTGGCACATGAAAATGGCAAATTACAGCCATCTATAGAAGACATTTCTGCAACACTACAATATTAATGCAGTACTTAAGACTGCATTTATCACTTTTTTATATTATATTTATTACAATAGAGCTTGCTTTGAATCATCTACATCATACGATTTCATTAAAGATGTTAGTTAACTCATCCAATAAGCAGACAAGGGCATCTTTTCGACTCTACAGGTTCCTGTCAAACTACAGACATGCTCTGCATTGTAAGAAAAAGACAGAAAGACAAGGAACTGAGGAGAGAAAGGCAGTTGCATTCAGAGAACACTAAAGCTGAAGAATTCTTAAAAGGACAGTTCACCCTAAAATAAAAAATTTAAGTCATCATTTTTTTATGATCTTTTTAAAAAGCTTGATGCTGGTAACTATTGACTGAGTGCAAACGGGACTTTAAAAAAATGTCAAAATAAACAATCTCCTTTAGTTTTTTTTTTTAGTTTTTTTTTTTACAATGTTGTCATCTGTAAATGCGAAAAAATTGCAACTTTTTTGTTTTTAGTACATTGTCATGTAAACGTACCATTCATTTTCATTTTAGGGTGATCTATTCCTGTAACAGGCTATGACTGATTCAAAAAGTTCAAAGGTCAGACCTACCGGGCAGGGGAATGGGCATGGCAGGCAGGGGCACTCTGAAGGGTGGTACCATGACAGGAGGGAACCCTTGCATTGGAGCAGTGGGCTGTGGCACAGTATGAGACAATGCCACCGGCAGAGGTGGAGGTCCTGCAGTCATGGAGACCGTAACCGTTGGCGGATTAACAGCTGCAATTGGGGTTGCCATAGGACTGGGGGTTGTGGTTACAACTGACGGCATCTCCACTATGTCAGGGGCTACAGTTGAGAAAACAGAATGGTAACACTTGATTTACTTTTGATAACAGAACAAAATTAATAAACAACTGATGAGCTGATTAAATATTTTTTCTGCAAAATCCATCAAGGATCAATGAAACAAAATATTTCTCCAGAATACTATTTCTGAACAGATGACAGATAAGATAATAAATATTTCATAATTAACCCAAAGTACAGAAATAGGCAATGAAAGAAGTAATAATTTGAATAAAAATACTCATATTGGGAATAGAGTACTTCTGTGTTTTTACATTGCGCAAATGATTGCAACTGCAGATTTTTTATTAGGACACGGTGTGTGTCGCACCTTATACTTGTCCAATGTTTGTACGATTCTTTGTACCCGTTTAGACGTGTTGCCGTCTTCAGAAAGTTGCGTTATGTGCACATTAAGCATACACCAAGTACTAGCTCACTCATAAAAAACAAAGAATACATTGGGTTTTAGAGGTTTACAGGAATGACATTTACCTGATACAGGTGTTGGGAGGAGAGGTGAGACTGCTGTGATGCTGGGAGAGGAAATGGAGCTCATGGATGTGGAGGGGCTCTGGGAGGTGAGTGTGGCTGTAGTGACTGAAGCTGGGAGGCTGATGGAAGGACCGGGCCCGGTGGAAGCTCCACTGGCTGCTGCTGCCGCCGCCGCTGCCTGGCTCAGCATCATTGGACCCAACTCAGCCTGCTGGATCACCTTCACGCCTTCAGGCTTCGTCCAGGACGACTCCCTTGTACGTGCATTGTAATAATACACCTGAATAGAGAATAAAAGCAAACAGAAGAGGACTATAGATCAAACTGTGTGCACTCACTGTAAAGAAAGTAACAATGTATTCTATTATAATATCAACTGCATCAAGTAAAGAGACTAACAATGCAACAGTGCATTGAGCTTGTGATTTGGCTGGGAAAATACAAGGCATCATGAACCCCAAAAATGCATTATGCAATATCAAACTGATTATGCATTCATTTGTTATGCAAAATACAATTATTTATATGTTTTTCAGTTGTGTTACATAAAACCTTTAGAATATTTATATAAAAAAATATTACTTATAATATACACTAGTTCAAAATGTGTTTTTATCAGCAAGAAAAGGCATTTATAATGTTAAAAAATTCTATTTCACAATAAATGCTGATCTTTTGAACTTTCTATTCATTTTCAGCTGTTTCAACATTGATAATAAATTAAATGTTTCTTGAGCACCAATTTAGCATATAAGAATTATTTCAGTTTGATCATGCAACATTACAGAAGACTGGAATAATGATGGTAAAAACTCAGCTTTGACGTCAAAGAAATAAATTACATTTTGAAATTCATTAAAATAGAAAAAAATACATTTTAAAACCTTGGTGAACAAATAAAACAACTTTCAAAAACATTTAAAATTCTTTACGACTCAATACCCTTTAAAGGTTGTTTTTAAGAAATAACTATAATCCAGATATGGTCAGTTGAGGATGTTGTCAGAACAAATATTTGCTCTCTTAAACAAATCCTCTCATCAAGACTTTTAGAACAATAAATAGCAAGATCAGAACTCTGTATACGAAGCAAAAATAACACAAGCCACCTTCCCTTTGGAAATCAACAGTATTTTAGTCCATTAGGAATAAGAAACTATACCTTTCCATCTGGACTCTTATTCTCCACCCAGATCTCTTCTGTAGAGGGCAGGGAAGGAGGACTAGGAGTAGGAGCAGGTGCAGGAGAGGCTGTAGGTTGTATTCCTGGAGGAAAAATCATGCCAGGTGGAGGTGGCATGGATCCTCCGGGCGGAGGCATGAACGGGGGTCTCTTAAATTGAAAGTTATAGATGTCAGAGAAACCTTCCAAACAACCAACCTTCTCTTTCTATTCCAACACAAAGTTAAAGAATTACACAATAAGCGGCATCTGATAAACATACCTGTAAAGGTGGGGCACCCATTGGAGGGGGCACACTGGGGTCAAAGGGGATCCGTCCGAAGGGCGGTCGGGCAGCGGGTGGAGGTCCCCTCATCATAGCAAAGGGAGGCACAGGGGTGCTCAGTAAAGGCTGCCTGCGGGTGGAGGTGCTGGCAGATGGAGGTGCAGTGGCAGGGAAACGCAGTGCTGGCTGCTGGGTCATGCTGGTGGAGCGAAAATAAACTTTAACCAATAATATCTGTAAACCGTTACAGTACACAACGACTAACGTTACTGCAGACAGACAGATTCTCACGAACTATACTCCCGTTTAAACCTTCCTGAGTTAACATAACAGATGTCATATGATGTGCTTTCGTATCTTAAACCACATTCTATAGCCTGAAGTGTAATGAAAACATCAAGACGGTTTAAGAACATTCCGTCGTGTGTTGTTACGCTGCTTTCATTGTCCACGAACCAACAGGCCAAACGATGCTTTAAAAAGATTCAGATTAGCCAACTGGGAAACACTAGCACTACCCAGTTGACACTTAAGGAAAAAAACAAGACTAAGTATAACTGGTCGTTTGAGTTATATGAAAAATAATGCAAAATCCTAACCTGTTAGCGGCCAGGCCAATGCCTTCTACCTCCGTGTGCTCCGCCATTACGATAATAGTAAAACAAATTAAGAGTCCCCTTGACGCATTTCCGTTGGAGTCCCGGCGTGCACGGCCGCCAAATAATGTTTTTCAAACGAAAGCTGCAACGGTGCTACCTTTACATTTCAAAACATTTTGAATAATCAATATATTTTTAATTGAATTAGTTGTAAATATGTTCTCCCCTAAACTAGTTTCATCAGGACAATGTTTTAATTTAGATTTGCTGTGATCATAGACTTTTAAAAAAAAAAAAAAAAAAAAAATAGGCTGAGATACGAGGAACCATAGACTGTAAAGAAATTACTCATAACTCAATAATTTTTTAGGAAAGTGTAGTAAAACAGGTGATATGACGGACTACGTCAGAATTATAAAAGGTATAACTTAATTTCCTATTTGATTTCATCAGTAAAATACTGATTTTGTGATCCTACTAATAATTTTAGAGAATTTGTATGACTTTCTCATTTTGTTTTTGCCAGTTTTGCTTTATTCAATCATGCATTCATTCATTCTGGTTTGATGGATTACTTTTTAATTTTATTTATAAACTTTTATTTTGTAAATAACTAGAGTGCTCCGATGCCGGAAGTACACAAACACAGGGCGCTCACGTTGCTTTTCTGCAATGGACATCGTACACGCTCGTTTCAAAGAGAAAATAGGTGAAGTACTTTTACCTGGAGATGTGTTTTCATTCATCTCGGCTGAGGGTGGATATGGTGATTGTAATATCAAACCCGAAAAGATAATATGCGGTCCAGGACTCCGGAGAAACGGAGAGGAAGTTCAAGTGTGTAAAAGTGGAATCTTGCGGCACAAACAGCCAAATCTGTACTGGATAGACTCTCAGCAGAGACGGGTGAGGAACTGGACTCACACACACACACACACCAGTAACCTTTTGTACACTTATTATTTAAAGTTGGCTGAGGCTCGTTTTGCTTTAGGACATTACTGGAAATTGAGAACTTTTAGTAATTTCTCTGTCTTTTTTTCTACAAAATAATGCCAAAATATCAGGTTCATGTATTGCATTACGTGGGTGTGATGGAGAGAGAGGTTCCTGAAACAAAAAATAATAAATCTTGCTCAAAATGAAGCTGTCACACAGTAGTATTAGTCACATCCTCAGGCTGTCCTTATTTCTTCCAGTATGTACCAGCCAAAGGTGAAAGTGTGATTGGTATTGTGACTGCAAAGTCTGGAGATATCTTTAAAGTGGACGTGGGAGGAAGTGAGCAAGCATCTCTCTCGTACCTTGCATTCGAGGGAGCTACCAAGAGGAACAGGCCTAATGTGCAGGTACTTGCTTATGAACACTCTTTGCACCACTCAAATGAAAAATTCATACCATTTACATTGCATTATGGTTGTACAAACTGATAATGTGACTTCTATGTTCTGCAGGTTGGAGATCTGGTGTACAGCCAGTTCACAATTGCAAACAAGGATATGGAACCCGAGCTGGTGTGTATAGACAGCTGTGGCAGGGCCAATGGGATGGGGGTGTTTGGAGCTGATGGGCTCCTCTTTAAAGTGTCTCTGGGCCTAGTGCGCAGGTTTGTGATTTGTCCATATAATATAGCTTTGTGATCTGTACAGTTCCAAGCTTAGCTTAGTTAAAGTCGTAAGTTCCGTGCTTAGAAAACACGTGTGAAATCACTTGGTGTAAAGTATCTAGTTGCTATTTACACTTATCGTGATTTGCAGTTGCCTAAAAAATTACATGCACTGATAAATCTCTTAATAAATGCTCCATAAAATATTCCATAAATGATTTTATGGTTAATTAAAAAGCTTAAAAAAAAGTTTTTTCTTCCCATCAGACTTCTGGCTCCTCAGAGTGAAATAGTGAAGGACCTGGAGAAGATTTTCCCCTTTGAGATGGTTGTTGGAATGAATGGCAGAGTGTGGGTAAAAGCAAAGACAGTTCAGCAGACGCTGATAGTGGCCAATCTTCTGGAGACATGTGAGAACATGACCTCTCAACAGAGACAGACACTATTCAGGAGAGTGGCAGAAGGCTCCCTCTAGAGGACATATGAAAGATCACTTTTCCCAGAATACAACTGGTGCCACACATGTTTAAAGGGTTATTTACCCCAAAATGTTAATTCTGTCATCCTGAATGAGTTTCTTTCTTCCTTTGAACACAAAAGAAGATATTTTGAAGAATGTTGGTGACTTTGGATATTGGTGTGTTCACCCTGTCTGTCCACGCTAGAGAAGTCATCCTTTCTCTCTCATAACAAACATGTTTGCATTTATGTTCTATATGTTCAAATGAATAAAATCTTGGTGAAGCAGTCAATGAAAACTGTGGGTTCTTTTGGTTTTTTTTTTTTTTGTAGTGATTTGAAAGGGTTACTCCGAGTCCACCCAAACCCATTTACTCACCCTCAAGTTGTTGCAAACCTGTGTGAGTTTCTTTCTTCTGCAGAACTTTGAAGAATGATTGGAACCAAACAGTTGTTTGGCACCATTGACTTCCATAGTTGAACAAAAAAAAAAAAATACTATGGAAGTCAATGGTGCCAAAGTTCCAGTCATTCTTCAAAATATCTTTCTTTGTGTTCAGCAGAAGATAGAAACTCATACAGGTTTGCAACAACTTGGGGTGAGTAAATTTAAGTAACATTTAAAAATATTTAAAAAAATTTAAAATTATTTTGAGTAAAAAGTCTTCATGATTGCTCCGTTTTCTTCATGTCCAGAAGGGGGCACTTTTCTACAATTTCTTCACTGATTTACTGGTATTTGCAAGGGGAACACCATGACTGTAACCAGTGTAATTTAATATCCAGTTATCCCTTATTCACAGGCATGTTGAACAAATACCATACTCTACAGCAAGGCTATTTTCTCAGTGATATTTCCGTGATAAATAACTGGAAGGCTAGGTGTCTGCTGTCTGTACTTTCTTAGAGCTACACTGTGTAACTCTTTTAGTTTATTCTTAGCTAAAAATACTTCGTTCTTTCAAAAATATATGTGCTCATCAATGTATATTTACTTCGTTCAAGTAATAAAGTATTCTCGTGAGTGTATAATATTAATATGCCATTGAAAATACATACGGGTAAGGGGTTCTAATGTCGGTCGCCATGTTGCCCCTCCATCTTGAGAGTACATTAGCCAAAGAGGGACATACCCGTTAATTCAAGCGTCGCCTTTCGCGTTTTTGTTTGAGTTAACACTCATGGACGAGGTCGAACCTACCTTACTGTCTATGGGTCGAACTGAAAGCCATGTTAATCTTGGACTTAAAAGTGATATTGCCCGCACAGCTCTTGCGGTTCGTTTGGTCACACACCACAAGGTGTCACTGTGGCCTCAAAGCTTCAGAACTGCCACTCTGAGCTCGATTGCTAAAGTCTGAGTTAAAACACGCCCCCCTCATTAACATACGGAGAAAGAAATGTTGGAATAAATAAATGTGGAAATGATGAAATGTGGAAATAAATAAATATAGAAATAAATAAATGTGAAAATAAAGAAATGTAGACATAAAAACATAAATACTGAAATAAATGTGGAAATAAATAAAAGTTGAAATAAATAAATGAATAAATGTATAAATAAATAAATAAATGTGTGGAAAAATACAATTATACATAAATATGGAAATAAAAGTATAAATACTCATTTATATGCACTTTTTTACATTTCTTTGTATATTTATTTATGTATTTATTTATGTATTTTTGCTTTTTTACATTTCTTCGTATATTTATTTATGTATTTATTTATTTTTTAATTTAGTCAGCTTTGGCATTCCATAGACCTTAGGACCCAAGCGATTCGATTGGTTCAAAGCTAGTTTTATGGGTAATCGCTTTAGTGCCTGGTTACAAATCACTTTATTAAAAGAGACGTTTGAAGTACGTTATAACGAGTCATTACTGTATTTAACTTATATGTTTCATATACTAGTATATAACCGAAGCTGTAGATTGTACATTTAAACATTTCTCGTTCTTAGTGTTTTTAGTTAGCTTAGTAGCATAGCATTTATCCGATGATTCGTGCTAGCTGAGATTTACCGCAGCTTAATACTGCCTTACCGTATTCGAAATGCAATTATAATTATTTAATTGGCACTGTTTTTGTCTTAATAATCAGTGCGATGTTGATCATTTGAATTGTTTGTCTAGCCTTAATTACAGGACAGTGTAATACAAATTTGTGAATCACAAATCGTAATGTAATCATTATCAAACTTTATTCATATCATAATTTTATTTTTTTATCCTGATTAATGAAAGAAATAGCATTTTCAGGTATGTTTTGCAACGTTAAGTTATTTGTTATTTAACAACATTTTTAAAAATTACATTCATGTCATTTGTGTTCTAATTCATATGATTTGTCATAATTATTTCTTAAAACAGAACATCATACAATACAATAGCATTCAATGCAATAAAATTAGTGAACCAAAACTTACAGGCTATAAAAATGACATCTGATTAAATTACACAATACAATATACTAAATTATTTCAACTGAATTATGAGATGTAATGGATTATACTTTTATTAACACAGAACTACAAGCAAAATGAACATTTACATGGACATTTATAGAGCTTTTTAAAATGCACAACAATACAAAACAGCTTTAAACAGACTATAGGAAACTTTCATTTCCCAAATACTTTTGTGATAATCCTTTTGGCTATACAGTGTGAAGATCGAATGAAAATATCTTCATAGCTGTGTTAACAATGTTGAATGAACTGTAAGGTTAAATATTTTGAGAGACAGTGTTGTTGTTTTTTTTAGGTCCATCCTGGATTAACCAATTAGACTCAAATAGATGCAGTGTCTTTTGCTGTATATAAAGTTAAATCTGTAATTGATTCATATTGTATGTGCAGTCAATTTTTTTTCTTGAGGCCTCGATGATGCAGTCAGGTCATGAGACGTGGAGGCTGAGGGACTCTGAAAAACACACAAACATGCTGTAACACATGTCCAACATTATTTAGTAAACACAGCAAGAGAAAGTATCCTGTCAATTGTATCCTAACCAGGGGTGTTACTG